GGCTGCGACTCGCCGTGGTCCTTGATCGAATCTGCTGTTAGGGCGATGAGGACGCATCATGGCGAGGGGATCGAGTTCGTCCTTTGGACTGGGTGAGTTTATTTAATTATTTTTCTATGTATATTGTTTGGTGGATTTTGAAAATTGATGGGGGGTTTAGGTTTATTTTGTGTATAGGGTGATGGGTGGATTTCGTGTGAAATGGATCATGTGTATTGGGGACTTGGCATACTTCCTTTTTAAGAGAGTTTATAGACTGACGCTTTCGAATATTTTTGGTTCAGTAAATTTTCAATTCTTAAATTCCTAGATTTCTAGATTCTGGAATTCCTAGATCCTAGAATTCCTAAATCCTAAAATTTCTTGATTCTCGTATACGTAAATTGCGAAATCCTTGGATCCCAGAATTCCTAAATATCGAAATCCATATATCTCCAAATGCCTAGATCCAAAAATCCCTAGATCCCCAAATCCCTCAGTCCCCAAATACTTAGATCCCCAAATCCCTAGATCCTCAAATCCCTAGATCCCCAAATCCCTAAATCCCCAAATCTCTAGAGCCCCAAAATACTTAGATCCCAAAATCCCTAGATTCGAAAATCTCAAATTCCCAAAGTTCCTAGATTCCAACATCCCAAATTCCCAAAATCCCTAGTTCCCAAAATCCCTAGTTCCCAAAATCCCTAATTCCCAAAATCCCTAATTCCCAAAATCCCTAATTCCCAAAATCCCTAATTCCCAAAATCCCTAATTCCCAAAATCCCTAATTCCCAAAATCCCTAATTCCCAAAATCCCTAATTCCCAAAATCCCTAATTCCCAAAATCCCTAATTCCCAAAATCCCTAATTCCCAAAATCCCTAGTTCCCAAAATCCCTAGTTCCCAAAATCCCTAATTCCCAAAATCCCTGGTTCCCAAAATCCCTAGTTCCTAAAATCCCTAGTTCCCAAAATCCCTAATTCCCAAAATCCCTAATTCCCAAAATCCCTAATTCCCAAAATCCCTAATTCCCAAAATCCTTAGTTCCCAAAATCCCTAGATCCCAACATCGCCAGATCCCAAAATTCCTAGATCCCCAAATCCCTAGGTCCTCAAATCCTTAGATCCCCAAATCCCTAAATCCCCACATTCCTAAGTCTCCAAATCTCTAGAAACTCAAAATTCTTAGATTCCCAATTCCCTAGTTCCCAAAATCCCTAGTTCCCAAAATCCCTAGCTCCCAAAATCCCTAGTTCCCAAAATCCCTAGCTCCCAAAATCCCTAGATCCCAAAATTCCTAGATTTCAAAATATGTGAAATTCCCAAACTTCCTATAATTCCAAATTTTCTTGAAATTTCCTAATTTTACAAAATTCCTCGAATTCATAAATTTTCCATAATTCCCAAAATTCTGGAAAGTTTCACATCTTGCAAAATTCCCAAAATTCTCAATCTCCTCCAAAATTCCGAAAATTCCCCAAATTCTAAAAATTCCCAAATATCCAGAATTCCCTGAAAAATTCCAAAATTGTCTGACTATCGTCCGTTTGCGACATTCAAGCAATATAGTACTTTCGCGATACTATCTGTCTTTTGATGTTGCCCTCAGCTTTCTCATAAGAGAGCGCGCAGTGTATAAGTTTGCCACGGGGTTAGCCCCGGGGCAGAGATGACAGAAATGGTAACATAAGTAGAAGAAGACGTCTAGTCTGCCCACTTCACAGTCTCTATATTTCTCTTTCAACATTGTCTTGCACGATATTGCCACGAGGGTAAACTCTTGGACAGTTCTGCTTTAAAAGGTGAAGTTCAGTCAAGTTCAGAATAAATATCATGCGTTAAATGTTCGATATAACACTTTGCATTAATTCGTTTGAAACACGTCATATATATTCATACGTTCATATGTGCACAGTGTGTTAATTATAATTTTCATGAAATATTATTTATATTTTAATTGTTATACTGGTGTCATTAAAAAATATGGTGTATGTTATATATTATAACATTATTTATTATGATAATAACCAATATTTTTCTTCAAATTCTATGAACATATTAATGTCTAATTTTGATCCCAATTTTTAATCTACAGAACTTATGACAATTTTCATTATACAAGTACATACTGTCTTATCCTTTGCACCTTTATTTTTAAATGCAAGTTTATATTAAATAATAATAAATTCCGACGTAAATATTTTGCACAATTTATTTCGAGCCAGACAAAATCGATTTCAAGCAGAACAATTACGTGTTGTCAGTACAAGATTTGACGCCATGTTACCAAATAATTAAATTAAGTCCCGCTTTATAGTGAATGAATTTTCAATTTTGGAACGAAGTCCACGTTAAAAATACACGATTTTGATTGCGAATTCTGACCCAGATTTAGGTCACGAACGTCTGCAGGCGTAAATAATTAAAAATGGTGGAGCATTGAATAATTTTCGAGGGCATTAATATTTCCCGACTACCGTGATGCACCAAATTGTTAACTGAAATTAAGAATTAAACCGCTGCATCTTTAACGCGCGACATTAATTTTGTCCACGACGAGATACCCGAACGATAATCTGGAAATTTAATAATTAAGTTCGCGATCTCTTTGGCGTTGAAATTGAACAAATAATAATTTCGGTAATCGCTAATCCTTTGAATATTCTGAAGTTTCAATCTCCACTCGGTGAAATTCAATGCGGAGAATTTCAACCAATTTTAGTTGTCGAATTAATTCAAAACATTCATATGTGCTTTTTAATCGTTGAATAAGAGGTCCCTGAGGCGGCTACAGTTTTCATTTAATTTTAGAGTCTATTTCATTTCCATTTTGTAACTTTTGCAATGTACGGAGCTCTTTCGGGTCGGTTTCATAATAGTTCAAGCACCGATTGTATGTATTTTATATGAGAAGGTTATGATTAACTGGTTCTTAACGCTTTCGCTAAATGCGAGAGGAAAATTGGGGCAATGGGTGGAAGTACGGAAAAATTACGGAGAGATTGGTAAATTAGGATACTGGAGAAGTGGTAGAGGGGTAAATTCATAGTAGATTGGTGGATTGGTGGATTGGTGGATTGGTGGATTGGTGGATTGGTGGATTGGTAGATTGGTAGATTGGTAGATTGGTAGATTGGTAGATCGGTAGACCGGTGGATTGGTGGATTGGTGGATTGGTGGATTGGTGGATTGGTGGATTGGTGGATTGGTGGATTGGTGGATTGGTGGATTGGTGGATTGGTGGATTGGTGGATTGGTGGATTGGTGGATTGGTGGATTGGTGGATTGGTGGATTGGTGGATTGGTGGATTGGTGGATTGGTGGATTGGTGGATTGGTGGATTGGTGGATTGGTGGATTGGTGGATTGGTGGATTGGTGGATTGGTGGATTGGTGGATTGGTGGATTGGTGGATGATTGGTTGGATTGGTGGATTGGTGGATTGGTGGATTGGTGGATTGGTGGATTGGTGGATTGGTGGATTGGTGGATTGGTGGATTGGTGGATTGGTGGATTGGTGGATTGGTGGATTGGTGGATTGGTGGATTGGTGGATTGGTGGATTGGTGGATTGGTGGATTGGTGGATTGGTGGATTGGTGGATTGGTGGATTGATGGATTAGTAGAATGGTAGATTGGTTGATTGATAGATTGGTAGATTGGTACACTTGTGAGTTGGTGAATTGGTAAATTGAGGAATTGGTAAATTAGAAAATTGGTATACTGTTAAATTGGTAGTTTGGTACGTTAGTACGTTGGCAAATTGGTGAATTGTTGAATTGGTAAATTGGAAAATTGGTAGATTGGTGAATTCGCAGATTGGTACGTTGGTAAATTGTTGAATTGGTAGACTAGTAAACTAATACATTGGTAAATTTATAAATTGGAACATTAGTAAATTTGTGAATTAATGAATTGCTGAATTGGTAGATTGGTAAACTAGTAGATTGTTAAACTTGTAGATTGGTACATTGGTAAATTTGTGAATTAGTGAATTGTCGAATTGGTTGATGAGTGAATTGGTAGATTGGTAAACTAGTAGATTGTAAAACTTGTAGATTGGTACATTGGTGAATTTGTGAATTAGTGAATTGTCGAACTGGTCGATGAGTGAATTGGTAAATTGGTAAACTAGTAGATTGTTAAACTTGTAGATTGGTACATTGCAAAATTTGTGAATTAGTGAATTGTTGAACTGGTCGATTAGTGAATTGGTAGATTGGTAAACTAGTAGATTGTTAAACTTGTAGATTGGTACATTGGTAAATTTGTGAATTAGTGAATTGTTGAACTGGTCGACGAGTGAATTAGTAGATTGGTACATTAGCAAATTTGTGAATTAGTGAATTGTTGAATTGGTCGATTGGTGAATTGAGGACTTAGTAGATTAACAATTGGTAAATTAGTACACTGGTACATTGGTACGTTGGTACATTGGTACAATGGTATATTGAAACTACATTTACTCTCTAATTAAACATATCATAACCTACCTTCACAAAGATAGACACATCTTTCTAACATTCCCCCTTTCTTGCACTAATCAATCTCTATGGCCGATTAATCTCAGCGAACAGACTCCAGCGAGAAATTATATTTGCCGGACGTTAATTGGATGGTAATCATCGCGTAGGAAATTCAACTAACCGAGTCTTGCGGGGATTATCGACACGGCCGAAGAGATATCGAATCAGCGGCAAGGTTGTTCATTTAAGAAACGTTTGATGGAAATCGATTGCCGTTCGATACGGTTTGCCTCGTTACGTCCCGCCATCTTTAATCGAACAGTCCAAAGAGAATTAATTTAACCTGTTCAGGTTCTGGTTTGTTCAAGACTTTGTGCAGGGTATTGCAGGGTTTGTGTCTTTGATGGATTTGGAAACTTACGCGAACTTATCTAATACAAACTTGAAAGCTTTAACCTACAATTTAATAGACTGGTCGTACATAGCCAGATAATTATTGACACAATGTTAATATAAGTGAAGAAACCTCAAATTTTAGGTATATTATTCTTTCAGCAATCCTTAGTGCTGATTATAATTCGAATCGAATGCAAAATTTAATTGCAGTGAAAATTCGAGTCTCGGTTATCACGTTCAAACTGTACTGTGC